GCTGAAATAGGGTCCTGGGTCCTGGGATGTGTTGGGGAGGCCAAGTGGGACCATTGAGACCAACTCATGTCCTCAGAATTGAAACAGGAATGACTAATACCGAATTTTGTTAGACTGTTTCACTAAAGGTGATGGTGTGCTAGGGAAATCTGGAAGTTATAATTTGCATCCAAGTGGATCCAAATGCTCCAGTCCATCCATTCTCAGGATGGGAGGACTGAAAACAAGATGAAAAATGAAAGTTGCTCTTTTCTAAGCCTGCAGTTTGGAATTAGTGCGGAAAATGACCTGAGTTTCACAGGAGTCCCAAATTATGTTTGATTCACTGGCTTAGTTATGATAACACGGAAAAAAAGAAAATGGAATGGGCAAAACATTTTCAGCTGACCTAGTCAAGTATTGTATCACTGTACATTGGTAAGCTTATTCAAATTTCACCTGGATCTGAAGGCAGCCTACAACTGACTTGAGGCATTTTACTGGAGTGACACAATTAAGGTTTGTCATTTCCGTTGTGACAAGGAAGAAAATGAAGTAGTTATCACTGCATTCAGTGTGATAGCTGACAGTCGTTATGACATTTTTTCTATTTATATTCTGTGAGAAAATCACCAGAGAAGGCAAGAGCTACTTAAGGACAATGTTAGAAAAATTCTATAAAAGGCATAAATTGATTGTGAAAAAAATTAATTTAGACACTGAGGCCAGGAAACCTTATTTCAGAACGGTAAAATGATGGAGCAATCAAGAAACAGCAGTGGGGAGGAACAAAACTCAGTTATTTTTCAAGCTAGAATGCTTTACAGGCTGGGTTACACACCAACAGCACAGGCTGTGGGAAGAGACATGACCCAGTGTTGTAGAAGGTTTAGCCAGTTCTATGCCAATCCAAGCAAACAGGGCAACTGTGCATGATCATTTCTTCAGATGCTGTCATAGCAACACTGAAGGCATTTTTAGATCTATTAAGAAAGGGGAGAAGTGGAAATATAAAAGTACAATGATGCCTTTACCCACCACGCTGTTAAGGCCCCCAGGTAAAGATTGGTGTCCAAATCTAAACTGTGTGAAGATACTGAATGTAGCTCACCAAATTACTGAAGGAAATCTAAAGGCCCAAAGCCAAGTCTAATATTCTGAAGCACTTCGATGTTGCATATTGAAAATGCAACTCGCCTTCCTTTGGACATCTAAAACTAGGTCTGTGATCTAAGCCAGTCCTCCTTTAACACTAGTTAAAATAGTTAAACAGTATGAAGTTGGAACAGTTACACTGGTCAGGAGCATCTTCACTTGCCAGTTTTAGATGAGAGTAAATACTTCTGTATGTTTATTACATTTCCTTTTTTTTTAAAAAAAAAAAAAAATCAGCTTAGTAGATTGTTCATTCAGTTCACATCCTTAAATCGGAAAGTAATAGGGTGATATACGGTATCTACATAACTGCGTTAGAACACTAACAATTTCACAGCTTGAAGTTTTTCGAGTATTTGTTGTATTTTTTTAAAAAATGGAATAATTAGAAAAATTAGAATAATTAGAAGCTGTCTGGAACATTATAAATGGCCTACTGCTTGTTCATGACTTTTTAAGTGGTTTAACCTAAGAACTTATGTAATGCAAAGCAATACCAGAACATAATATTTTGATGTGCTGACCTCAGAAGTTTTAGGTCAGCATCTCAAACAGCTTTGACATTAGTGTTAGCAGAAGTACACTTTCAGGCTTGATTTTAAAAACAAAAACTCTGTAATATTGTTGAAAAACTATGGCTTTGGTGAAAGGGACTATTAGTGTAAGTATACTTGAATTACACCAGGACTTCTTAACACATTAGATGTCCCGTAAAGAAGTCAAAAGACGTAGGCCAACTTGGAATGAAAAACTCATCTACCTCTGCTTTTTGAGACAAGGCCAGCGACATCTGAAATATTTTTCTAATGCACTTAAAAACTTCCATGTTACTGCTTTCACTCCTTTCAGCAAGCTTATTCCTGTGCTTATTTATTTTAACACTGTTTTTCCTTAATACTTCACTCATGATGAACTCATTACTTTTTACACAGAAATGCAAACATACAGCTATTTACTTTCCTTTCCAGTGCAGCCTTTAAAAGTTTTCAAATTATTTAAAATATTTAAAGAATGTTATCAGTTTTTCCCCTACAGATAAAAAGAAGTAAAACATTTTTCAGTTTTTAACTCATGTAGACTTCCCATAACTCTCACTATAGGTGAGGACCTATATTGTATAGCTTATTATATGTATAGGTATATTATGCGTATAGGTCACAAGTATTATAGGTGAGCACCTAAACCATCTCTTTCCAAGTGGTCCATCAACTTACTGCAAACCTAAAGCAAGTTACTTTAATTAAATTAAAGACCACAAGGATATTCAGCTGAAGAATTCAATTATGAACATTAATAATTATTTCCTTGCCTGTGGGCTGCAATATCATTTTGACGGATTCTAGTCCAAAACTTGATATTACAGAGTCTTGTTTTATTTATATCATATAGTATATTATGAGCATGAAACTAGAAACCTTTAAGCAATCTTGTTATTTCTTCCAGAGTTTTTTTATTGACTTACTGAGACACACTTTTTGTTTTTGCATGGATTCTCGTTCTTCGGGATGTCCTTTGCGCATCAATTTTTTACTTAAAATGTTAAGCTAAGTTAAAATGAAAAAATAAGTTCATTACAAAATTGCTCACTTATTGTATTAGCAAATTTCAAATACGATGTTGTATTGCTGTTTTTTGGTGTTTTTAAGTTAATTTTTCCTAGTAAAAATAGCCTCTTAAGATAACTATAAAATAATTATGAATATTCTCATTTAAAGTAGATATTTTTCTATCATTTTGATTTATGGTCATCTTAGGAACTTTACAGTTACAGAATACAGTAAACAATTTCCATCAGTGTAAAGAGAAATGGCTTTAATACTGCAGATCTTCAAAGATGATAATAGTTCTAAAAAGGCTATCTTAAAAACTCAAGCGCCTTTATCTTGATCTATTATTGCCATGTGAACTAGACACAAAAGATTGGATGGTAGGGCCTAACCAGGGTCAGGGTTTGATCTGACCAAGGTCAGGTAGTTGTACTTCTTTCCTTTCTCTCTATGGCTTCTTCAACACTGAATGACCTGTTTTGTTAAAAATAGCCCTATCCTTGAGATCTTAGAAGTCAGACAATTTCTACTACTTCTCCTGTCTCATATGAATATGGTTTTAATGTTACCTTTTGCTGCATGAATTTTAGGATCTATTTCAGTATTCTCAACTTATTCAAGTCTGGGTTACTTAGCACTATAACATATATTAGCATCACATTTAATACTCATACTTTCATTTATTTCAGTATCTTTATCAGCCTTCTTCCCTGATTTGCTTGCCCAAAAACACTTTCATTCCTTTAGTGCTGATTACACAAAACTAGTGAAAAATATGGAAAAGTTGTGTATTTTTTATTTTTATGTTAAAATAATCTCAATGCATGAATTCACTGTTTCTTGTTCACAATCTCCTCTTTCGGTTTTATTTTATTTCTTATATTGGAGCAGGGAATGAACAATCAGAAAAGTCTCGGGGTAAATTTTAGTATGGTAATAATAAGACGGTGAGTTTTGAAGACTCATGAATATTCTTGTCAAAAATTATGCAATGATTTCTGAAAAACCATTTCAGTCAGCACTTTCTGGAGAACTGACGTTTTTCTTGCCATTTTCAACTTAAAAGGAATTTTTTTTTTTCAGATTAATTTTTTAATCTGGATTTATCTTTAGCCAAACAGCTTTGTCGTACTGATAAAATATATTATTGCAGCTCCCTTATATGCTTAACTTCATGATAATTTTATTAGGCACTTCAGTATCAGGGTACTTCCTTGTTTTTCTTGTGCACTGGCTCATCAGTTGATCAAATATTAGTTATTCCATTAATTTTTAAAACAGTGCAAAATTCGCAATTGAGTAAGTAAATCTTTGTATGTGGGACTCTGAAAGTAATATCTCCTCTTTATTTCCATGGAAACTACGAAAGATAGAGCACTATTTGATGGAGCAAATTCTAAGCTACAAACAGAGTTTTTCAACATAGTCACCACTATTAGTCCTGTATTTTCAACAGTGATGAACAAGAGCCTGTATGCAGCACTCATAAAAATAAATAAATAAATAAATCTGTGCTGGTGAATGTAACCCACTGCTCCTGTCACCACTGCTGGAGCATAACACGCACCACCTCACTGTGCACACAAAGACTGATTGGTCTACAGAAACTTTCTACAAACACTGAAGAATGTCAGTGGATGCATTTTTTTCCATGTGGAGAAATTCAATTCCACATCTTTGCTTCTTCTGCACTTCCACGTCAGACATCATTTTGTCGGTCTGCCCCTCTGCTGCCATCTGTCGTACAGCATCAAAATATGATGAAATACTGGTGGGAAGGTTCAACCTCCATTGCCATACCATCAACATCTGGGCTTGATTTCTTGGGCTAACATGAAAAAATAGGAGGCGTTACTTTCAGAGCAGCCTTTGTAAATGCAACAGCATAATTTAACTATCTTCACATCATTGATTAACTGGTAACTAAAATAATGGAAAATGAATAATTTGCGATGATAAAAAAAAAAAGAAAAACTATTTTCATCAAGTATAACAGGGTCACTCTGACAATAAAATGGTTTGGTAGATCAAGCTGCTGAATGACTTGCATTCGTTACTTCTGGCTCATCTTCAGTCCATCTTCTTGACAACTTCTTTTATGGTGACTGCCCATTTGTTCATGGTGATCTATGCTCCTCTGCCTTTCAGGACTCATGCCTTGTTTTAGTTTCTCTCTTGGGCTCACAGCAAATTGCAGTGCAGAATCCCCTTTGAGAAAGAGCAGTGCTTGACTTTGTGGCAATCTTGGGAGAAGGAAAAGCAACCAGAAATTTTAATGCAAGGAGTGAAGTTTAACTTCTGCAGAATCTTCTTTCACAGACATATGGCACTTCATCTTCTTATCAACACTGGATTACACAGGATGCATATATTAGTGGTAAGACTCCTCTATGCATATCTTTAAAATGACCCTCATTTTACTTCAAGGCATTCAATTGTTCCTTGTTTTCTCTATTAGTATGCTCCAGTGAAAATCAGCATTCATCAGTAGAAATGTCAAACATAACCAAGAATTTCTTCAAAGCCATTGTAATAAAAAGAAGAAAAAGAAAGATATTGTATAGCTTCACTTTTCTTCAATCTGTCCTTCATTTATGGTACAGTTGTCCTTGATTCCTTTGTTGGAGTTTTAAATGAATACTCTCTATGAAAAGAGTGAACAGTATTATGTACAGATTCTCTCACATGATGCTTAAAAGAGTATTAAAAAACAATGACAAAATATGCGTCTTTTCACACTGAAAATCTCTGTATAATCAAACCTGACTTATTTCATGCATGCAATTTGCAGTGTGTTTTGTTAATTAGCTTCTTTCTGGTGCCTCTCAAGCAAGAATCAATTTTTCACAGGATCATCTTTTCCCTGCTTGTAATGAGTAACATTTAATATTTGCTGGTATAGTGATAAAATGTATTTCAAGGTATTTTTATGGAGTGCCAAATTAAATGTTTCAATTAGAGCTTCAGTGAGCTGTTCAGTAAAGATTTGAATGAACCCCTGTAGGCCAGTGTTAAAAAAGATTCTTCAGGCCTATATTTTCACGCACTCTATAAAGATGTGTCAGAATTACAATTAAAATAATTCGTTTTTCTAAATGAGCCGAGAGAGATCACATCTCTTTTGCTCAATTACTCCCATTTCTCCTACTTTTTCTTCTATTCTCTTGCGCCTGTGTGCCTGGGAGTTAGGATTTGTGAGCTCCAAATTTGGGATATGAACTAAAAAAGTTCATTTGGGTTATTTTTCTGAGTTCTCCTGCCAGGAAGAATCTTTCAACATCCACAATCTGAACATCTGTGTAGTCTTCCTCTAGGACTGAACATCCTCAGAATCTTCCCGGAAGATAATTACCTCAAGACTACTGTTTCTAGCCTGTCTCTTATCTTTGGACTTCAGGGTTGTCATCACCCCTTTAAAACTGTTTTATGTATTGATATTAGGAATCCTCCATGTCTATCAAACTATAGCTTTGAACACAGCAGACTTTGAGAAGAGTATTCCTACTCTGTCTCCTTCATACTCTATTGGAGGCTGAGGATTGTACTACATCAGATGTTTTTTATGAAAGTTCTTATTAATTTCATTAATTTCAACTGCATTTCTTACTTCTGCTTGTACCAAACGTATTTTTTTATTCAGTTCCATGAACCTTAAATGCAATCATTTTTTTGGGAAACTTTTCCTTTGAAAAAAATATCTTCAATAAGAAACATTATAGATGCAAGAAGGAGGAAAGTATTGTCAGTATTTTTGTGCAAAGTATTGTGCATTCTAACTGAGTTGTTTCTGAGGTGATTCTGTATCATGGGTTTACATATGCTAGCCAGCTATGTGCATCAAGACCATCATTCTGTTAGGAGTATGTATATATGAGAGTATGCAAATGTTGACTATTTATCAATCAATTTAAAGAAATTTTTTTGTAAAACTAGGTTCAGATGTCCTTTGTTAACCTGGCTTACATTAACTGTGCTTTAGACAAGCATTCAGATACAAACACAACTCAGAGATTTTATAGGAATCTCTGGCATATACTCATGTTTGACTATGTGCTTCATTGCTGTCCTGAAAGGTGAGGGTGGAATAATGAAAAAGAAGGTAATAGAAACGTGAAAAGCTGTTCATTGGCTCTCCATTTTAAGGGGTGTTTTTACAACCTTGTATGGCAAAATCAAAGGTATACCCAATTTGAATCCTAAGGTCAATAAAAATTTGGCATATTTAGAAGACAGTCAGGTGACATCATAGAATGAGAAGTTTTAATGAATGAAATGGCACTGCAGTAAACTCATAGCTTTATAACGATTGCCTTGTAACTGTGTTTGAAGAGTTCTTACCAGAATAGATTAGAAAGCAAAACAGTCACGAGGACAAAAATCATAATAAACTCAAAACATAAGCTAAATAGAAACAGCACACCCAAAATAAACAACAACATATTTGTTGGGCAAATAACACTCTACTGTGTAATATTTTGTGACACTGAGTAATGTTTTTGTTTTGCATGGGTAGCTCATAGGCACTCTCTGAGAAATTATTCTCTTCAGAGAGATTCAAGCAGCAAATAAACTTCAGTTGAGTGCACTTAGCTCCCAAGAACTATATCAGAAATAAAAACAAACATTTTTAAATATCTAATCAGATAGATATCAAATATGTGTCTACTACATTGTTAAATTGGCTACATGATACATATAATATATACCCTGTTTACTTTGCATGCAAATGTTAACATTTTATTTTAGTGCATTCATTTAATTTACACAATAGAAAATACAGAAGAAAAAACTTTCCACTTTGATGAACTGGTGGGTTCAGCTCCATTCTTTTGTGCTTCAAGCCATTGTGCCAGTCTTGAGAAAATTTTCATCATTCTCAATGTTTTGACTTTCAACCTCAGCATTTCATTAACAAAAATAATTACTCTGTAAATGCAATCAGTACTACTCTATGCTGATAGAAGAGCTGTTTTTCCAAGAAAATGCTATTTTGCTTGCGTACTTTCTAAATAAAATGCTGCTAGAAAGATGGAAGAAATCATAGGTAATTACAAATGTTACTGAAAGAGTGTCATGAGGTTAGGAACACCAATAAACCATGTGTCATAGCAAACATCATATTGAATGTGCTTTCTGGCTTTAATTCTAATGATTTGTATGTCACTTGACTTATCTCTTCCATTTCAAGTTCTGCACGTTTCTCCTAGGAAATAATCATTATAGAAATGGAATATTGCTGCTAAAAACAATAGAGGACTCTGTTTTGTTAATAGCACAATTGGTTCCCCAAACAGGAAATTAGAAACAGCACCCTTAGGAGTATTTTTGAACTACAGCAAAATGAAATAAAACTCTCTTCATCGTTATTGACAGAACTTAATAAAATGTTTCATACTAAATTGCCTTTGATGCATCTGTAAATAAAATAAATTATGCAAATAACATAATATCTTATTTGAATGGATAATTACAACAGTAATCATACTTGTGAGTTTATTTTCACACAGGTGAATGTTTTCCAAAAGTGATGTCAAGTTAAACTTTGTGATTTTACCTGCATTAAAACAAAAAAGTTACTGGAATCCAAGATTCAATCTTCCAAGTGCAAAGAGTAACCCAGCAGAGATGCTGGGCTCTTCTTTGTGATGGCCTGGTCTGTAACAGAATGGCTGATGTCAAGAAGTTCCTTTGGAGGTCTTCCAGTTGAGGATGCTGTTGTGGGCATGGTCAGCTGGAGCAGGACATTCAAGGCTGCATCCAGGTGGCTTTTCAGTATCTACAGAGATGTAAACTCCAGAATATCTCTGAACAACCTCTGCCAGTGTTTAATCACCCTTAGAGTAAAGAACACAGCTTTATCTTATGTTTAAATTGAACTCTATGTATTTCAATTTGTGTCCACTGTCTCTTGTCAAGGTGGATTGGCCTCAACTTCACTCTAGACTCCTCTATATACCCTTTATATTGTTGCAGGTTACACTTGGTCCCTTCAAGGAGTCAATACAGGGGCAGCTGTGGTCAGAATTGAGTGATTTCTCTCCAGTGCTTTCCAATCGTCCAATGTTTTTTGCCATTTCATAAATATGTTTTCACTGAGTCTGTCATATTGGCTAATGTGCTTAGCTGCATCCTGCACTGGGTCCATTTTGGTGTCAGCAAAACAGGCTGTATCTAGTGTAGGCAACAACTGTCTTCTCAGAAAGCTATCCCTGTACTCTCAAACTACCAACACCTTTCCATAGACATCAACTACACTAAGCAACACTGAGAAAAGCCTGGTTCAGTCTTATACCTTCCTTCCAGGTGTTTATGTGTATGGATAAGTTTCCTTTGAGTCTTCTCTTCTCCAACCTGAATAGTTCCAGAATGCTCAGCCTCTCCTCATATGTCAGATCTTCTATTCTCTTAAACATCTTTGTGGACTTTCACTAGACTTGCTCCAATACATATTGCACAATTGGGCCTGTAAGGAGTTAAGAAAACCTAAAGGAATTAGGTCTGTTGATCATGAAGAAGAGGAGACTGTGAGGGATCCCAGTCACACTATTTCAGTACCCAAGAGGTAGCTACAAGGAGGACAGAGGCTCTTTTCACAAGATACGTGGTCCATGTGTACAAGCTGCATCAAAAGAGGCTGTGTATTAATATAAGAAAGAAATATTTTACAGTAGGAACAATTAATCACTGGGACAATCTCCTTAAAGAGATGGTAGAATCTCTATTGCTGAAGGTTTTCAAGATGTGAAAGATCTAGGCTCTTTTTCCCTATGAAAGGTAAGGCTGGATGAACTTTTGAGGTCCCTTCCATCCTCAGCTGTTCTATGATTATATGATTACTTAAACATGTAGACTCCCTTTGTGCTTGACTGTTGAGCTTTCATGGACTATACCTGCACCAGAACAACTTGTCTCTTAACTGAAGCATATAATAAGATATCTTGTGTAAATGCTGTTGCATTTGTACAATTTAATGTAGAACTCTGCTCTCCACAGTGCAGCTCAGATCATCCAGGACAGAAATTATCTGCTCTTTTTTAATTGGTAGACCATCTCATATCTCCTCCAACACAAACAAAAACGGCTTCAGTGTACTGTAATTCTAGACACAGGTAATGTATTTTTCTGTGTCTCGTGCATTCATTTTAATAACATAAAAAAGGAGTACTTGCTCTTTTTGTTTTTACTTGCTTTTACTTCTGCTTTTACTTTTGTTACTGGTTGCTCTGTAATGTGCAATTTTCTTTGTATGTTCCTCGAGGTAAGGAACTGTCAGTTTTTATTTGTACAATGCTGTACTCACCTATGGCGCTATAGAAGTAATAAATAATAACAATTTATGACAGAGTACATTGTTACCAATCATCACATATTTTGTGCACTTGTGTGAGATAAGAAACACTTTTCTAATACAAGTGGAATAACATGCCCTGTGTCTTGAAAGTTGAGTTATTACTATGTTATCAGTATAAGCATAAAGGGTACCTGAAGAAGGTCTCATAGATCCAAAAGCTTATCTGTTTTTTTCCAGTTTTACATTAAAAAAGATTATTTCCCACAATACATGCCCTTTTCTTTATGTTCTGAGATTGTGACAGCCAAAGCAATTCTCCTAATACAAAGACACTATTGTTATCAGTGTGGCACGTAACATGGATTTTCAAAACACTTTGCATAACATGACAGGAGGAAGGCAGTAATCATTTGATGTATGCAGATGGGAATGACTAGCTAGGAACTCTAAGTCTTTCTTAGGGACTACAAAAATGTTAAAGAATTTTTTAGGCTAAAGGGGACCTGGTTTTTCACTTTTTGGGGAGGTTTGCGGAATGGAGTTTTCACCAATAAACAAAAGCTGAGAAGTGATAAAACTTTCAGAAATACTGCACAGAAATAAATTCAGAAAGATCTCTAAACTAAAAAGCTCAAAAATTTTCTGCATTTTCCCAAAGAACTCAATGAAAGATTTAAAATACAGAGAATGGCCTGCCAGTACACCTGGAGTACTGCCCTTCCCTTTCCCTCCCTTCAAATTGGAGAGACACATCTGTCCAAGAATGACTTATGTATTTACATTCAGTGTTGTAAGAACATTCTCTGAAACCAACTGCTTTGAAATAATCCATGCTAATAGTAATAATTATCTCATTCTCAAAAGCAGGGATACTCAAGTCTCTGCTTTCCAGTAACTCCCATACATTATCAGGAACCATACAGGGGGGAAAAAAAAATTGGCCTGTGCACAAATTGTGTCAGGAATCATTCTAAAATTTAATAAGAGGGATGATTTTGTTTCAGTGCCTGTGGGGGTTTCCTGACACTATTTGTCTTGCTGATATGGACACGGCCAGTCTGTTTTACATTTCTCAGGGCTTCTGTGCAAATAGGTATAAGGTCTTTTAGATGTGATGGTACATATCAAAGAGATTACTGGATACTGGCTTTCCAATTGATATACATTTCCAAGAATATTCTAGTAGAGAAATAACCTTCTGGATAGAGAAATTCAGCCTAATAATAATAGGTTTTTTTCTTTTTATGCCTTCCACAGAATACTTAGAAATAGTCTCAGAGATCTGTCTGTCAGAAGATGGAAAACACTTCTTCAGAGCATTCCGACATTGGTACTGTATGGGTTGAGAAGAAGAAACTTATGAATACGTTTATGGAGAAGGGCTAATTGAAACACTGTTGTAGATAATTACTCTTTGACTTTTGATTGTCTAAGCTAGCATTAGTTATCAAAGTCATAACTAGGTGCTATTTCGCATGCAGTGTCATATTTTTAAAAATGGTTATCAATCAAAAGAATGGCAAGGAGAAGTTGTCTTTGCAGTCACATGCAAAATGAACACAAGAATGAAAGGGTACAAGACAGTAAATGTCTTGTTTCAAGACATAGGAGGATATCATTTCCTCATATAACCATAACTATTAACTCTTTCTAAACTGAATAAATTTGCATGTAATGGAAGCTAGATTTTATTTACTTATTTCTAAATTGAGTTTCAGTTCTTCAGCAGGAGATACTCAGCCTTTTATCAAAATGAGCTCACAAAATGGACTGTTTCAGAACTGTCTGTCAGAAAGATGGAAAAAGCAAGAAAAGCTTGATTTCAGCTTCCATGAAAATCCACACCTGGCCACAGGCAGAGTTTTTTAGTTGGCATTTGCTTAGCTCAAACCCATTACTGTTGAGTTCCATGTTTCTCACTGAGGCCTGAGCTTAGAACCTTTGCACCACAGTCCCTGGTTAGTGTCAAGTACTGATTATTGGGTTCACCTGGGGACTGAAGTTCAATTCAGTGCCCTTCTGCAGTATAATTAACAGCCCTAAATTAAACACATTACTCCCACTTCATGCTCATCATCAAGACATCTGTAGAGCTGGGAAACTTTTATGCAAGCCAATAAGATGTGAAAAGTAGGAAGTAAGGCCTCAGATACTGTGTAAATATTTCCAGTAAGGAATAGGATAGATCTCATGGATGAGGAAGTGGGCAGAAAAGAAAAACAGTCAGTGTGAAATGAGATATCTGGGATCAAACCATGATCTAAATTAGTCTGAGAATACCTTCCTAAATCTACTACATGAGGAAAGATGCTAATCACCATATTATGTGGGAAAAATTATTGTATTTTGTTAGGTTACTGCTAGAATGAAATGATTTAAGATCTAATTCAAGGAAGAGGACAAATTCCGTAATATCTGCCAGGTACAGCTTAATCTCCTTAAAGAGGATAGGAGAGAGATCACACCCCTCTCAACAGCATTTTTTGTTGGTGAGATAAACTCACTCACTTTTACAAATCTGCTCTCCACTCACCCAGTTCATTCTAGGTACTGTGATGAAACCCTGTCACCCAGTGACACCCCAGACAATTCTATTTAGTCTGGTAGGTGGATTTCTTCCTGAGATATGAAGTTGCTCTAAAAATCGTTGCTTATTCCTATTCTACAGCAGCTCCTGAAATTGTGTCAGTATATCAGAAAGGCACTACAGAGGGACCTGGATAGACTGGATCATGGGCCGTGGTTAACTGTATGAGTTTCAATAAGGCCAAGTGTCAGGTCTGCATTTTGATCACAACAACCCCAGGCAACCCTATGGGCCTGGGGAGGAGTGGCTGGAAAGCTGTCTGATGGAAAAGGACCTTGGTGTATTGATGGACAGTTGGCTGAATATGAGCCAGCAGTGTGCCCAGGTGGCCAAGAAGGCCAATGGCATCCTGGCTTGTATCAGGAATGCTGTGGTGAGCAGGACTAGGGAAGTAATCCTGCCCCTGTACTCGGCATGGGTGAGGCCTGACCTTGAGTACTGTGTTCAGTTTTGGGCACTTCAGTATAGAAGGGACATTGAGGTTCTGGAACAGGTCCAAATACTGAGAAATACTCTAGGAAGAGAAAAGTGTTAAGTATTTTTAAATCTGTGAGGTACCTGTGGTGCTCTGTCAGTGACAGGGATGAGCACGCATCTGCTCCATGATTCTATTCATTCTTCTAGATCACGTTTTTTCCTGGGTCCCACGCATAATGTGTTAGCTTCCTTCTGGTCCAGCAAGGGTTGATGCTGGCAAGGAATGACACTCACTGTGGCTGAGAGGACCTCTGTGCTTAGTAGCTGCCAAGGACAGTGATTCCTAACAATTATACTCCTTACTCGTAGTTTGTTAGATGTTTATCCTCCTTGTCAGAGAGAATTGTACACCAGAGGGAAACAATCTAGAGAAGCAGGAAGCTTGAAGTCAGAGATCTGCACTGTGCCAGTGATGGAGAACTGCTATCTGCAGCCTAGTGGACATGAGGGATCACTATGATACGAGAAGGTCTGGCTTTTTGCTGTCAGGCCTGGAAAGTCAAGAATATCTTGACAGAAGAGTGTGAGAAAAATTTGATAGAAATATGCATATATATTAAACACAAGAACAATCAAGAATGGGAAACTCAGATAGACATAAGCAAGGACTATGGTTCAAAGGTAAACAACTAGAAATGAATGAAAGCTGGAACTGGAGCAAGATGCTAAGCAATATACATTAAAAAAAACAGATACAACAGTTGCTTGTGTAGTGCAGCATTCTGCGGCTGAAATTAGGCATAAAAGGAATGATTGGTTTGACTGTGATTGATGAGAGCTTCAGATCAGTAGCGTACATTAACTCAACTGCACCATTGCTAAGAAGCAGACTGGAGAGGAAGGATGACCTTAGCATGCTCCTTCGTCTCCATCTTC